GACATTTTCAAAGAATACGGATCACGTCCGATATATTTTTTAACTATCTGTTTATATCTCTCCCGAGAAACGGGGTCTAAAGTTGCACAATAGCTGCTCTCCTGACTCTCCACAGTGTCCTCCATGTTTACTTCCGCCCTCCACTCAAAAATCGCGCTGCCGCCGCACGTCATCAGAACCACGTGACCGCAACCCAACTATTAGCCAAGGTTTCGGGTGAACTCATTGTGAAACCTAGTCCCACCCTATCATGTGATTTTCTGAGGATTTCCTGGGTTCAGAAGGCCCAGGATTTTCTTTCCAGCTCCTTAGACTACAATGACCTGGTTGACTAAGAACCTTCACAGACATATTTAATTGAAAGCCAATTATGGGCTTCTTTGTAGTGGACAGTTTTAAATAGGGTAGAAACACACGGTTTGTTTGTTTTTCTGGAGTAGTTCAAAGTCAAGACTTGACTATGTCAGGTCATGATTATATACTTAGTAAACATATATTTTGTGTTGTCTTTGTCATGCATCAGTCTTTATTGTACACCATATAGTATAGTATAGCCTGTGCTCTGTTTTGTTTAATAGTTTATGTTATTAGTAGATTTAGTTTTTGTTTTCGAGTTGATGGATCTACATGCAGACTTTTTTGTATTTGTTTCCAGCAAAAGAAATTCTGACAGACCAGAATCTGAATATACAGACAAACTCCAACATTACACCAGTGGTCACAGTATGTACCTTTTTCTGAAAGTTGTTGACATTAAGTCTGATAGCCATTAGTGCTGTATTTTATGAAATTAATGTTTTTTCAAGATTGGATGTGGCAAAAAATGACAGAAAGAAATCAAGTTTCCCTGTGTCTTCACGATTCAGTTTTTGCATATATATCTGTTGCTGTTTCTTCTATTTTTCTGTTGAAGTGTCACCGGGAATGAAGATCTACATTGACCCCTTCACATATGAAGATCCCAATGAAGCGGTTAGAGAGTTTGCTAAGGAAATTGACATTTCCTGTGTAAAGATTGAACAAGTGATTGGAGCAGGTAAAACAAAGAGATGCCTTAGAAAGGAAACGATATTAGGTGTAAGTAAAGACAGGCAGTGATTGGTGAGGTTTATGATACTTAGTACGTCAGAATGTGACTGTCTTGACCTTTATTATTATATTAATTGTCTATTCAAAGAAGGTAATATTAAAGGTTTCTTTATCAAAGGTTAGATTAAGAAGTCACTGTACTGTCGACAGTGCTTGGAACTAAAATCAACTTAAACATAGCTTTTCTGCCTAATTGTTCTCTATCATGTCTGCCTAGATTACAGCAGTTTACAAAAACTTTGATAGTTACAGAAGATGATACAAAATGAATATATTATAATACATTACATGTCATTTACCTACTGTAAACCTGATAGGAGAGTTTGGAGAAGTGTGCAGTGGAAACCTCCGACAGCCTGGGAAAAGGGAGATATTGGTGGCCATCAAGACTTTAAAGGCAGGGTACACTGAACGCCAGAGGAGGGACTTTTTGAGTGAAGCATCTATCATGGGTCAGTTTGATCATCCCAACATCATCCATCTGGAGGGAGTGGTTACCAAGAGCAGCCCTGTAATGATCATCACTGAATTCATGGAGAATGGATCCCTTGACTCATTTCTCAGGGTAAAAGAGACACTGTACAATTCAATACAAGTATAGTAGTACGCACGTGTGTGTGTGTGTAGGTGTGTGTGTGTGTGTGTGTGTGTGTCATTACTGTACTAAAAAAAGAAGGAAACAGGGAAAAAAAGTAACAATAATATGCAAATGAGGGTGGTTACTCGTCAGATGTCACCAAGCTTAAATTCTTCCATGTATTTTTTATTATATCTGTGGATTGCCATTTTCAGCTTGTTGTCCACTTCTCACACATTTCAGCTTTTAAATTTTGGTCAAGAGGTTTTAAAGTCCATCCATTTTCTTTTGTTTGTATGGGGCATCACATTTCCAAGCAACACAAGTAAAGATAAATCTCTCCAGAGTCTCCTTGGTCTGCCCCAGGGCCGGCCTCCTTCTGGTGGTTCGAAAGAACTCACACCAGAAGCGCCCAGGAGGCATCCTCGTCAGGTGCTCAAACCACCTCAACTGGCTCCTTTCAATGTGGAGGAGTAGCAGCTTTATTCTGAGCCCCTCTCCAATGACTGAACTCTTCATCCTATCTCTAAGGAACAGCCACCCTTCTGAGAAATGTAATTTCTAAAACTAGTATGTGCAACCTAAGGTCAGTGTTGGGAAGGTTACTTTTAAAATGTATTCCACTACAGATTACAGAATACATGTCCCAAAATGTATTTTGTAATGTATTCCGTTACGTTACTCAATGAGAGTAACGTATTCTGAATACTTTGGAATACTTAATACACCATCATGCTTTTTACAGAATCAGAATCAGAATCAGAAAGGGTTTTATTGCCAAATGTTGAGC